CGTGGCAAGGTGTAGGTGCCCACGGTCACTGGGTGGCAGAGCCGGCGACACCGCCCACCTGCGGGTGCGGAGGCCCCTGGTGACCGGACACAGCCTCACACTCTGCTCCTCACAGCGTTCCCTGCTACTCCCCCTGCCCTCAGATTTCAGGAGCACTGGAGCAGCACCGAATGCGTAGAGTAGCTCTGTGCTGACCGGTTGAATGTCTCACAAGTTCGCCTAGTCCTTTTTCAATTTTTATATATATAGCGTATCTGTGTTTTTATCCTCAACCAAGGATATTTCTTTCCATTGATTTTTAGAGAGAGTGTGGGCGGGAGAGGGAGAGCGAGAGGAACATCGATTGGTTGCCTCCTGCTGGGGCCAGGGATCAAACCTGCCACCCAGGTCCAGGCCTTTGACCGGGATTGACCCCGGGACCCTTCAGTCCGTGGGCCGACACTAACCACTGTGCACACCAGCCAGGGATCATTCATATCCTGACAGGATGTCGTCGCCATTGGGGTTCTTTGCCGTGAGCACATCTGTACATGAGCACGTGTTATTTTAATTGCAGGATGAAGGTAAAGACAAAGCCTTAAAGTCCTCTCAAGCTTTCTTTTCTAAGTTACAAGATCAAGTGAAAATGCAAATCAGCGATGCCAAGAAGACAGAAAAGAAAAAGAAGCAGCGACAGGACATTTCTGTCCATAAATTAAAGCTGTAATATACTTGGACTATAATGTAAATATGAATGTAAGTTTATATTCAGTCACCGTTCTGTTTTATAAATAAAGTTTTTTGAGAACTCTGCTTGGCCCGGGTGGCAGATGTCTGAGAATTCCCCGGTGTAAAGAGAAATTCCAGGCTGCCTTTGGGAAGCCCCGTGTGGGCCGTGCAGGAGACAGCCCAGCCATTGAGAACTCTGCTTGGCCCGGGTGGCAGATGTCTGAGGACTCCCCGGTGTAAAGAGAAACTCCAGGCTGCCTTTGGGAAGCCCCGTGCGGGCCGTGCAGGAGACAGCCCAGCCTGATCCTCTCTCATCACCGATGTCTCTCCCCCCCTCTCCCTTCCCCTCTGAAATCAATAAAAAATATTTATTTTTTAAAGTGTCATTACCTTTACAGCGAGGCCTTTCCTCCCCGCCTCACTGCGATGCTCCTCCTTTCTCTCCAAAGGACTTGTCTTTTAATTCTCTACATAATACATTTTTTGTTTTTTTTCCTCTCCTTCCTAAACCAGAATGTATTCTCCATGAAGGCAGGGGTTTCCCCACACCCAGTGGACATTACCTCACTCAAGGGAGGCCCCCACTACCTATTTAATGGTGAAGTCCCTACTCATGTCCCTTTCCTCTCTGGTGAGTTCGTTCAGCACATTGATGAAGTTAGTACAGAGTTAGTGCTGGCCCGTGTTGCAGGCGGTGAGTGGCGAAGGACAGCGGACAGGCCCTGGGCTGAGAGAGCGTATGTTGTGGTCATTCTTGGGGACGCCGGGGGCAGCTGGTGTCCGTGCTGCAGGGCTGACCGATGAAGTCGCTTTTCAGTGATGACACACAGCCATTATTAGAAATTAAATTGCCGAAACCTGTTTGGCTCAGTGGATAGAGTGTCGGCCTGCGGACTGAAAGGTCCCAGGTTCGATTCTGGTCAAGGGCATGTACCTGGGTTGCGGGCACATTTTCTAAGTTACAAGATCAAGTGAAAATGCAAATCAGCGATGCCAAGAAGACAGAAAAGAAAAAGAAGCAGCGACAGGACATTTCTGTCCATAAATTAAAGCTGTAATATACTTGGACTATAATGTAAATATGAATGTAAGTTTATATTCAGTCACCGTTCTGTTTTATAAATAAAGTTTTTTGAGAACTCTGCTTGGCCCGGGTGGCAGATGTCTGAGGACTCCCCGGTGTAAAGAGAAACTCCAGGCTGCCTTTGGGAAGCCCCGTGCGGGCCGTGCAGGAGACAGCCCAGCCTGATCCTCTCTCATCACCGATGTCTCTCCCTCCCTCTCCCTTCCCCTCTGAAATCAATAAAAAATATTTATTTTTTAAAGTGTCATTACCTTTACAGCGAGGCCTTTCCTCCCCGCCTCACTGCGATGCTCCTCCTTTCTCTCCAAAGGACTTGTCTTTTAATTCTCTACATAATACATTTTTTGGTTTTTTTCCTCTCCTTCCTCAACCAGAATGTATTCTCCATGAAGGCAGGGGTTTCTCCACACCCACTGGACATTACCTCACTCAAGGGAGGCCCCCACTACCTATTTAATGGTGAAGTCCCTACTCATGTCCCTTTCCTCTCTGGTGAGTTCGTTCAGCACATTGATGAAGTTAGTACAGAGTTAGTGCTGGCCCGTGTTGCAGGCGGTGAGTGGCGAAGGACAGCGGACAGGCCCTGGGCTGAGAGAGCGTATGTTGTGGTCATTCTTGGGGACGCCGGGGGCAGCTGGTGTCCGTGCTGCAGGGCTGACCGATGAAGTCGCTTTTCAGTGATGACACACAGCCATTATTAGAAATTAAATTGCCGAAACCTGTTTGGCTCAGTGGATAGAGTGTCGGCCTGCGGACTGAAAGGTCCCAGGTTCGATTCTGGTCAAGGGCATGTACCTGGGTTGCGGGCACATCCCCAGTGGGG